CAGCGGCAACCTTTTGGGGAATGAACCAGTGGATGCAAGACCTCTGTCTTTCCTTCTTTCTGTAAATCTGCCTTTCAAATAAAAATAAATCTTTTTTTTTTAAAGTATCATATCATAGGCTATTCCTTACTCGCTGGCTAGCAGCTTTCCTTACGTGGTAACTTATGGGCCAGAAGCCTTCCCTCGTATGGCTGTGCTCCCTTCAGCTCCTTGGAACTGCACATGATGCAAGAAGGGGCAAGCACGGACATGCAACCCCCTGCTCAAAGCCTTGGCTAGCTACCCTCGACATTCATCAATAGCCACTGTCATCCCATGGGTGGCAGGCACTCCTGGGATCACATCTGGATCTGGGAAGATGCTGGGAATTTCCATGTCTGTTTAGCCACATCCCAGGGACAAGTCTATGCTCATGAACATGTAGGAATTTCAGCAGATGATTGTGATAGGGCTGTTCATTCAAGAGGATTCAATCTATGGAGCTGATATAGATGGTGGACCAGATAGCCAGGGAGGGGAGGGACTCATAGGCAAACCATTCTATGGAGCTGATATAGATGGTGGACCAGATAGCCAGGGAGGGGAGGGACTCACAGGCAAACCCAGCAGTCGAGGGGGGTTAAGCTTGACAACAGTACGATGAAATCTGAATGAAAGTCAGTCTGAAGGATCATCTCTTGGGCAGGTTAGAGGGTGAGGCTTGAGGGGAGCAGAATGTCGCCCTGTAACGCAAATGTCAAAGGGCATATCCTAATGACCAGTCTCTCCTAGGCTTCCCTTCATGTGAGAGTTGCTTGTTTGGTTCTATGCTAGGGGCTGTAGGTTAAAAAGGTGTTGAGGTTTACTCTCCTTAAACAGGGGACAGAGAGAGAAGTCTGTATTTAAGAAGCCGAGGAGTTTCTTGGGCAATCGGGGGGGGGGGGGGGGGAAGAAATAAAAAGAGAGAGGGAGGAGGAGAGAGAGAGAGAGAATTAATCATTCAAGATGAGCAATGAGTTAGTATTTGTCAGATGTGGAGAAGTAGTCCAATTTTGCTATAAGGATTTTTTTTTTTTTTGCAAAAGCCTCACCTGGTTTTCCTACCTTAATTAGGTTTGTATATTCTGATAAACATAATACTGAGTTAATTAGAAAATGAGGTAATCACAGAATGAGTGGGAAGATGTTAACCATGGCGTGATTATTACATTGTCATTTTTGGTGGCAGAAATCTGGAAATATCCCTAAAGATCATCTTGTAAAGCAATGGTTGAATAACGCCCAGAGCAATAGTCTAGTGAAAAAACCCTCATTTTGCACATGCCGGGATCTTACATGGGTGCTGGTTTGTGTCCCAGCTGCTGCACTTCCCCTCCAGCTCCTTGCTTGTGGCCTGGGAAAGCAGTAGAGGACAGCCCAAAGCCTCAGGACCCTGCACCCGCGTGGGAGACGTGGAGGAAGTTTCCAGCTCCTGGCTTCAAATTGGCTCAACTTCAGCAGTTGCAGTCACTAAGGGAGTGACTCAAGAGATGGAAGATCTTTCTCTTCATTGCTCAATCACTATGTATATCTGCCCTTCCAATAAAATGAATATTAAAAGAGAAAAGCAATAGTTGAATAAAGCATGTTCCACTCATCATGAAGCTTGCCATATGGCATTGAGTGACTTGGATGGTACTGGTTAAGGAGCCTGTATCCCATAAGGGAGTGCCTGTGTTTAAATCCCAGCTCTATTCCTGATTTCCAGTGTCCTGCTAATGTGCTCCTTAGGAGGCAGCAGGCGAGGGCACAAGTGGTTAGGTCGCTGCCACCTGTATAGAAGATGCAGACGGGTTCCCAGCACCTGGCTTGGCTCAGCCTAGCTCTGGTGATGGTGGGCATTTGGGGAAATAAAGAGACAGAGAGAAGGTGAAAGACAGGAAGGAAGGAAGGAAAGGAGGGAGGGAGGAAAGAAAAGGAAAGAAGGGAGGGAAAGAGAGAAAGAGTGAAAAAGAAAAAGATAAATAGAAAAAGAGAAAGAGAATGAAAGTAAGAGAAAGAAAAAGACAGATGTAAATGTACTTGCTTGGAGTCTTACAGATTAATATGTTCCTGATCTGTTTGTGATTGCACCTTCGTTTAAACAGATTGAAACAAATGCTGTGCACGAGCAGGTGTCTGCATAGGTACAGAGAAGGCATGCAAGAATACTTTCTAAGCTGTAACACTTGTATATGCACGAAGGAGAAGGGCCTGAAGGTCAAAAATCATTAATATTTTCCTCAAGTGCTTCTTTTTCTTTTTCATAATGAATGAAGCAACAGCAGACCAACAAGGATGCGGTAAATTCCAGCAACTGGTAAAACACAAAATTTCCCAACTACTCAAGCCCTGATCATTCACTTGTTCATTCAAGAATCACTTGCCATCTCCTGAGTGCCAGATGATTTCATGCACTGTGTCTAATCCTTCAATAATCCCAGATGATCAAACAAGACCCAGTCAAGTTCAGAGACTTCCTTAAGTCACATCCCCAGGAAGAGGGTTGAGTCAGCACGCATGGCCAGCCCCTTCTGGCCACAGAGCCCTGCTCTGTTTCACAGGGAGGAGTGACAGTGTCCTGTTTCTGTGGTTGGGCAGTGCAGCATCCTCAGGTACTCAGCAAGGGCTCTAGGGGATGGGCACAAGGGTGCTCTGGTACAAGTCAGAATCCTATTAGGGACAATCATAGTTCTTACTGAGAACCTAAGTACAAGGGACAAGAAGCTCTGATCTGGAAAGAATCCCTTTGCGGCTGAGTCATCGGGCGACACTTGTGCCAAGGGCAGCGAGTCACAGGAGCACCAGAAAGCTCAGTGTGACGTGAGGGTCCCAGGCTGTGGCAGCAAGAACTTGCCCACCACTAGCCAGGCTATAACCCCAAAGCATCTTGAGGGACCATATGGAGTGAATATGTGTGTGGAGCGGGGGAAGGGGTGATTCTAGTTTTTCCTTCTCTTCCTGAGTTAGGAGTTCTTTAATCACAATTAAGAGCTTCAAAGAGTTAGAGTTCCATGGAGGTCATGGATTTCTGCAGAACAAAAACCTCTTCCTAGAGGTGGTATGGCTTAAAAATACATAGAAAAAACTCTTTTCTATATTTTTCCTAGAATTGGCAATCCTGGCAAGGATTTAAACTATGAGATGGTACTTATGGGTGGCTGAATTTCCATGGCAGTTCACACTGCAGGCACTGCTGCAGGAAGGTAGGCCACTTACTTCGGCATAGGCATTCCTCATAGCATTCTTCCTCAGTCTGCTTGCCCCAAAAGTTCTAAGTTAATGAAGATTTCATCTTTTTATGTAGAGAAAACCTAGATACTGAAAAACATGGTTAGAAGAAAGTTAACACATGGCAGATGGTCTCCAAGTATGGCTCCCCAGTTAGGATCCCCAGGAAACCTGGACAAAATCTCCAGGCTATGGCTCTCCCTGGGACAACTGACAGTGTGCCTGCATTGGGACAGGGCCTCGGTGGTGTTCAGTGGCCCCAGGCAGCTCCTCTGGGCCATTGGCTGAAACATTGGCTGCCATACACAGCAAAGACCCAGCAGCCATGCCTGGATGCTCAGGGCTGGGCTCCCCCGACAGCAGGGCTATGACCTTGGGGCAAAGAGCATGGAGGGCTCCATCTGTTCAGCTCAGCAGTGAGTACCAACCCATCCTGCTCAGCAGGCAGTTCACAAAACCAAAGCACACTTAGGGGTTTCCTTCCTATCCCAAAGGGAAATAATGACAGTTCTCAGGAAGTGGTCCATGTTCAGTGTAAAGTTGTTTTGTGGTAACCAAGCCCGATATGAGCAAGGGCAATCCTATCAGTACCACTCCATGTATCTCTGAGCAAAGAAAGTGAAGACCATTTATTTTCTAAAGTTCAGTATTTGGTTGATGCTATGACTGAACAGCGAGAGCAGGTGGTGAGGGGGTGGTCCTGGGTGTTGACTCTTGCAGCCATAGCTGATGGTTCTCTCATCCTGGCAGGGGCATCCACTAATGAAAGCAATGTTCTAAAACTCTCCACCTAGAGGGAGCCAGTCTATCATCTATTTTAGAATGGATCTTTAAGATTTATTTGAAAACAGAGTTACAGAGAGAAGGAAAGACCAGAGAGAGATCTTTCAACTGCTGGTTTACTCTTCAAATGGCTGCAATGGCAGGAGCTGGGCCAGACTGAAACCAGTAGCCAAGAGCTTCTTGCAGGTCTACCATGTGGGAACAGGGACCCATTGCCTTCCCAGGCCATTAGCAGGGAGCTGGACCAGGAGTGGAGTGGCTGGGACACAAACCATTGCCCACCTGAGATGCTGGCACTGCTAAGTGTACCCAGCAACAGCGTCGGCCTCCAGTCTTGGATTTTTTTTTGGATTTTTTTTTAAATTCATGATATGGCTGAAAGTTTTAAAATGATAGCAACCAGCCTTGAAAAAAGTATAAATGCAGGTGTTGGCTGTTCACATGATACATTCAGCAAATGGAGTTTTGCTGCAGGAGAAGCCTCTGCCAGAAGCAGCAACTACTAAAATTATAAACTGCTAAAGTTTCACATTGGTAATGTACTTTTTAAAGAGAAGTTCAGAGTGACACACAGCTAGACACAGGAGAATTAAGAAAAAGAACTCTAGCAAACTGCTCTGACCTCTTTTAACTTCCACTCTGTGTACAGGATTCCTTTCACTGAATACACCGCCGGAGGAACTGGGCCACAGTCTGTACTTCTGAGAAGAAAACTATCCTGTTTTAACGTGAAAAGAGGATAAAGTTATGGAATACTTTTAGCAACAAACACATGACACGTGTCTTTGAGCAGAAATAAATGCGAGACTGGACGCTGATCTCTCACATATACAAGTGTGTATCCACACACACACACACACACACACACACAAACACATCTTTGGCCCCCCGGAGTCACGCACGCACACAGACAGGGCTTGGTTTGAAGGGGGAGTGAAGAGTGAGGGAGAGTATCAAACACAGGCTTTGCTAGTAAGCAAAAAGATGTATCATATGAAACAAAGTTTTAATTTTTATTTTACATATTTATACATAAAACTTTCAAGGAACCCTCTGAATCCAACAGAATGTTAATAGCACATCTAAAAATGAACTTCAGGTAGTCAACATTCACAAAATGTTGAAAACTGATTAAAATATATATTACGGAGAGCTACGACTTCACTACGAGGCAGGCATGTTTTTTTTTTTTTCTTTTTGACTTGTATAGCACCGTCATTTACAGTTCTTCTTTAAAACTACAGTGAAGAATGAAAGTGGTCACTGGTAAAATACTGCTCCAACTGAAAACCTCTAAAACAAATGAAAATAAAACTACCCTCCTTGAATAACCATGGTTGGTGATGGTGTAAGTACTATACATTTTTTGTAACAATATTTTATTAAAATGCCTGATATTAAGTGGCACGAGTAAAAAAGGAAAATAAATTAAGAAGCGAAGGCCAAACACTGGACATGAAGCTTCAGACATCATCAACGACTAACACTGGTAACTGTTTCCGTGCCACCTTAGCACAGCATTTTTACAACCACAGAAGCAAAATGAATTCTAGCGTGTCCTCCGGCCCGGTGGCTTCTTTTCACTTTGTGGGCATCTTCTCTGCCAGGTGCTTCTGCTGACTTTCAGCATGTCTGTAAAATGAACCACACAGTCACTTAGGGTGAGGAAGGAAGAACCGAACCACTGGCCTGTCGGCAGCAGCAACATCCTCCTGCACACGGAGCGGCTCTCGGGGAATGCGTGAGGATCAAGAGCCATCCTTCACCCACACTACCTACCCCTTTAACTGTTAGACAACACTTTGTCCTGAGTGAGCCCCTGGAATAACCCGAGACCTACAGATGTCACTGTCTTTGAAAGGGAAATGGTGTGTTTAACGTGAAGAGAGACTCAGTGTCCAGCAGACTTTTCTGCACAAACATTTGACTGTGCTTTCTAGAAGCCCGGCCCATGGGCTGAGGATTTGATAGTGGGCAAGATAAGGAGGTCCCTGTTCTGGTGAGTCCTGTGCTCCAATGAGAGATGACAAGCAGACAAACAGCAAGACAGCAGAGAGAAAATAAAGGTTGCACAGAAAGTCAAAACAAGGAGTTGGGAGCGAAACAGCTGGTGACCGCTTCTCACCTGCCCGTGCATGGACAAAGTTATTCACCGAGGTTCTAGCAGAGTCTGGGCCCTATAGCTGAACTCCCTCTTACGAAAGCCAATCTCTCACTAATGGAGAGATTGCAAAGATTCCCCAAGTATGCCCGAGTTCCCCCGCCATCCAGTTCATCCTATGGGCGTGATCATGACGGCGTGGTTGGAGTGAAGTCTCATTTGCCCAAGTCTGCTGTGAACCCAAAGTCGAGGCCTCCCAGCAGCCGGACGGGGGGCCAGAAGGGGACGAATGGCTATGCTGTTCACAACACTTGTCCTTTCTAGAGAGGACAGGGGTGTGGTGACTGCAACAGACAATGGTTCTGAAGCAGAACCTTAGGAAATGGTAAATTAGGCAAGAGACAAACACCCAAGGCTGTAGTTTCCAGTGGCCATCAGGGTTTAGAAACTGCTGGTCTGAGCCTGGACTTGGGTATCAGTGACGTCGTTGGTTTCAGGCACAATGTCTCCTATCTACGGCCGAGGGAAGACAAACCACACTTTCGGAAATAGGGAAGTGACAAGTGTCTCTGCCACACTGAGCAGCCCCTATTCGACGGTGACAATCATCCAACCATAACAAACTTGTGAAAAAACATCATCCGCTCTCTACTCCCCAGTCATCCTGGTAGAGATCGTCTCATCGCCCTGCTGCTGTGGAGCAATGAGCCTTGGTCCTTCTCGGCCCGCAGCCAATTCAGCACAGTAAATACTCTGCTACTCAGTGGGCCACGATTCCACTGCAGCTTATTATAGTCTACGTGCTTGAAAATGTGCTGTGTGCGTGCAGACACACCCACAGAAACATCAAAGGGCTTCGAGAAGGAAGAGCTCTCTCAGCAAACAGCTCGGAGATTATTAAGAATTGAGTGTTACTCTGAGACATACAGAAAAAGGAAAATTTCATTAAAACTTTAAACAAACGGGAAGACGGATTTTGGTTCATAAAACTAAAAGGTTCTCATTGGTAATTTACATCAAAGTCCTAATAAGACTTACTTTGCTCAGCTCCCAATCGTTTTGTTGTTGTTGTTGTTTGTTTTTAATCAAAGCTTGTTCTTGAGGACCTACTGTTTGTCTTAGAAGCTCTGGGGACACAGGAGTGAATAAAATGTAGTGCCATCCCTGTTTTCAGGGATGGACAGTCAGAAGGGCAGACACACAGAACCCAGTCTGAGGGTGAGAATACAGAACAGAGGGTCTTAATGTGGTCTTGGTTTCAAGGTCTGGCTCGTGGGACACCTGCAGGTGTCTGTAGCACTCAGCAACATGGGATGGCTTGGGGGCAGTTTCGGAGCAGGTGTCTGAGTGCAGGGTCATCCTTCTGGATAAAGGGTGAGGGACACCCGTGCCACCTGCTGAGGTGGAGGAGTGAGGATTCCCACACTGGGAACACGTCACATGGGAGTATGACAGCCAGCAAGGGAGGTCTGGGGGGGACTGCAGTGCTTCTCCGGAGGGTTCTCCAATCTGTATGCTGAAATAAGCTGGGAGCGCTGAAAAACCGGGACATCGCTTTCCTTCCACTCCCGCAACTGCACCAGAATCTCTAGTGGGTGGGACCCAAGCATCAGTAGTTAACACAGTTCCCCAAGTGACCTCAAAAGAAGACAGCTCTGATGTGCCCTGACACCTGCACTGGAAGGAGCGGGACAGGAAATGGGGAGAGGTGAAGCAAGCTTCCCAGCAGTCCCAACTGCCAGCCTCTCAGACTTCCGCCATGTGCCTGTAGGAAGCCTGAACGCCACCTTGAGGAAAGTGTCCTTGCCCCTCCCACCACCATCCAGTAACTTCTGAAGCAAGCACAAGAAACACAAGTAAGAAACACAAGTTTCTCTCCACCAAACCAAGGCTCTTGTAGACGGATCATGCCCTACAAGGGTAGGACTGCTCGAATTGAAAGGGTTCCATAAGCACTTTTAAATTTGTGGTTCCTAGGCTGGCACGGTAGCCTAGTGGCTGAAGTCCTCACTCTTTGTAATCCTAGTGGCCCCACTTCCCTTTCCCTGCTTGTGGCCTGGCAAAGCAGTTGAGGACAGGTCAAAGCCTTGGGACCCTGCACCCGTGTGGGAGACCTGGAAGAAGCTCCTGGCTTTGGATTGGCTCAACTCTGGCCATTGTTGCCATTTGGGGAATGAATCAGCAGATGGAAGATCTTCCTCTCTGTCTCTCCTCCTCTCTGTAAATCTGACTTTCCAATAAAAATAAACAACTTTTTACAAAAAAGAAAAAAAAATGTGAGGGCCCAGCACGATAGCGTAGCATTTAAAGTCCTTGCCTTGAATGTACCAGGATCCCATAAGGATGCCGGTTCTAATACCAGCAGCCCCGCTTCCCATCCAGCTCCCTGCCTGTGGCCTGGGAAAGCAATCGAGGACGGCCCAAAGCCTTGGGACCCTGCACCCACATGGGAGACTGGAAGAAGCTCCTGGCTTCGGACAGGCTCAGCTCCAGCCGTTGTGGCTGCTTGGGGAGTGAACCATTAGAAGGAAGTTCTTCCTCTCTGTCTCTCCTCCTCTCTGTATATTTGCCTTTCCAATAAAAATAAGTAAATCTTAAAAAAAATGTGACTCCTGGGATAGGTGCTTAGCCTAGAGGTAAAGACACTGCGTTCCACACCAGAGCACCTCCGTTCGACTCCGAAGCCCCGCTCCTGACTGTGGCTTCATGCTAAGACCCCTCAGAACCAGCTCCAGGCTGCAGCCGCTACAGGAATCTGGCAAGTGAAGCAGCAGACGGCAGCACCCCCTCGGGCTCTCTACTGTAAGTACGTAAATGTGTGACTCCTCTCCTTTTTACCCTAGTCCTGCAAACCTACACAGGAGCCCCACAGTCTGTGGGAGAGAAGGAGCTCCCAGTGTCTGCCTTAACGAGAAAGGCCAGCCCCTGCTCAGAGGGCGGAGAGAGCTCTCTGCTGCCGCAGGGAAACTGCAGCGCTCTACGCTTTTTCAGGCCACTTTGTTCCTGGTTGTCTATCTCTCTCGACTGATTTCCCATGAACTCATGATCCGTGTGCACATGTGTTAGTGGAATCTGCTTTACAGCTATCTTTGGTGCAACGCCCAGATATGTCTGTAGATGGCAGTAGTACTGTTGGGTGTTGCTGTGACTGGCGTGTTTCACATGCAGGCTGATGCTCATGGAGAGGATGAAGGGGCCTTCTGGCTGTGGTCTCTCCCCACCCCGTTTTGTGGCGAGCGACTATGTGATAGTTCAAGCATATTATGATTCTTATGGATCAAAAGGCTAAACACAACAGTTCTGCTGCATCTATTTTGCTCCCTATTTTTTCTAACACCACGCCCTCAGCACCGTCTTTATCCAGTGTTCTCACTGAATCGCCGTCCCCTGTGTCCAGCACACCATCAACCCCCCGCTTTGAGCTGCTCAGCGATGCTTCTGTATGTTGTGGTGATAAGCAGTGTTCTGGCATCCCTTGCCAAGATTTTTACTCTCTGAGTGTGGTTTTGGGGGTTGACAGCAATGATTACCCTTATTAACAGTTTTGCTTGTTTGTCTGCTTTTTTATTAGTCAAGAAACAGAGAGCGCTCCCAACTATTGGTTCACCATCCCCCCCAACGGCCAGGTCTGGGCTAGGCCAAAGGTGACAGCTGGGAACTCAACCCGTGCCTCCCATGTGGCTGGCAGGGCCCTGCCCGGTCACCATCGGCTGTCTCTTAGAGAGAGTGAGGAGCTGAAGCCAGCCCCCGTGATGCGCGAAGCAGGTCTCCTAACCTCCAGGCAAATGCTTGCTCTTGTCTTCTGTCTCAAAAACGGTGCCACAGCAAATACAAACCTAAGACTAGTCACAGCGTTTGTCATACACATGCTTTATAGTGCACACATGACACACAGTGCACATACGTGATGAGACTTCCTACTAAGGAATGCAGGTGCCTGGCTGGCATAAGCTTGCTTGCATTCTTCCCCTCTATAAAGAGAGGTGACTGGAGCCGAGCCCAGCTAGAAAGTCAAGTCCTGGAGTTTCCCGGTGAGAACAATCTGGTGGTGATGGGACTGTGGAGAGATGCCAGGGGAGCGCCTTCTGGGCATGGCAGAGATGCTCAGGAGCTGGGTTGCAGAACAGCTGGTCCTGCTTTGTGACACCGCCACGTGGCACTCACAGACTGGGAACAGGCCAACCCTGACCGGCTTAGGGCCAACTCCCTGGTGGGGATGGGGCAGTCCTTCAGGGTAAAGGTCTCCGGGATGGAACTGCTGACCTGACTCGGGTGGGGATATAAGAACTCCTAACGCGCTGACAGTCCATCAGAAGGACAGGATGGCTGTCGAGAAGCAAAGCAAAATACGCCAAGCATAGACAGACAAAACCTGCAGGAGCTCACTCATGTGGAGCCTAACAAGGTTGATCTCATACAAGCTGACAGCAGAAGAGTGGTTATAGCCCAGGGAAAGCAACGATTGGTGAACGGGTACCAATTTACAGCTGGCTAGAAGTAAAGTCTGGAGGTGTGCTCAGCCTGATGCGAGCATTATCCAGGGGCTGAAACATCTCAGGGCACCCTATAAGTACCTACAATTTTTGTGCATCCATTTCAAAATCCAAGGCAATGCATTTGGCAAGGGGGAGTTGTGGCTCCCTCTGACTACACAGCTGACATCAGCCACTCTTCAGGGAGTATTCGTGGAAGTAAGGGATGAAGCTCTCCAGAGCTCATTCCCGCCCCTGGCTCTTCCCTGTCAGGTGGGCGTGGGGTCACACCAACCTGGTCCAGTCCTCGATGTCCACCAGCATGGCGTCCTGCTCCGTGTGCAGCTCGTCGCGGATGAGCAGTAGCTGCACCAGCTCTTCATTCAAGCCTGCGATGAAGGAGAGAAAGCCCAGCCAGGTCAGGAGCAGTGACCTACACAACACCGTCACGCGTGGTTCGTGGACAATAGGTCAAGCACCCAGACACAATCACAAAGACCTTTCCATAAAGATGTCGACTTCTCCCACCAGCTCGAAGCCCGGGGAAAAGTCACCAAGTGCAGAAACACGATCAGCATAGAGAATCCGAGAAGTGCTAAAGAAAAGGAATAGATAAGAAGGATCTTTAATTTACGTTACCTTTTTCAGGGGGAAAATCACTGTGAATTGCTACAAAAAGAGTTTGTTACAAGCAGGTAGGCGATTCTGTCTTGAAGAAATGTGAACATCAAAGTAAGTTTCCCCATTTTTCTCTCAGGATGCTCCTGTCACACAGAATCAGAGCGGTCCCCGGGTACCAGGGCGGATGCCAGCTGCAGAGGCCGTCCCACAGGAAGTAGCAAGGGTTTTGTGGGCTGCCGGAAAGGAAGAGTCCTCCAATCTGAGATAGAGGGCTGAGGCAGAGGTCTGCAATAGCTAGACGCATCTCGGGACAAGGAAAACATTCCTTTGACTTTTATCAGGGGTAGAACATATGTAGCTGTAAGCCTATGGAATCTTGTCACAGTCAGCACATCGGGTTAATTTGTCTCCTGCCTCTGAAGCTGCTGACTGGAATGTCAGCTCCCATCAGAGCACTGCTTTGAAACTTGGCTGCTCCACTTCCCATCCAGCTTCCTACTAAGATGCCTAGGAAGATATCATAGGATGGTCCACACACTTAAGCCCCGCCAACTAAACAGGGAGGCCCGGATGGAGTTCCAGGCCCCTGGCTTTGGCTTGGCACAATTCTGGCCGCTGTGGTCACTTGGGGAGTGAGTCAGCAGATAAAAGAGCTCTCTGTCTCTCCTCCCTCTGCAACTCTGCTTTTTAAAAAAAAATTTTTTTTTTTTTAAAGAAAAAGGGAGGGTATCTTTCCTGACTTGTGTGTCATGTGGGAAGCTAAGGACTGAAGCTTCTGGGTCCGAAGCACGGGGAGGGCACTGGTCTAGCAGGGGCTCTGGGCTGGGACCCAGGAAGAGAAGACATCCCCTCTGCTCTCCTCTCCCCCACGCCTGGCTCCCCACGCTAGTGCCTGTACAGGTCCTAGCCTCAAATGATGCAGCTACCTGCCTGGAGTTGAGACTAATTTTCAACTTTAAGAGAACAGTTATATACAAATAGGTCTACAATTGCATCTATTCTGAGACAGCAATTTCATTATTTAAGAATTCAAAGAAATTGTTTTAGTGGTAGAATACCAGAAAATCTCTTTAGTCCTGGAGGGAACAACAATATTAATTCTCAACTAAATTGAGAAGAATCCCGTGAATTCTAGGTTTCTTCATTAAAATGCTAAGCCACTTATCTTGATCTTAGAATAACACTGAATGTGCTCAGTTGAATACATCTGTTTTGAACCTACTGGAAGCGTGTTACCTGCCACAGCGGGCCGTGCGGCTGTCTGTGTACACTGCCACACACTAAAGTGCCTGTATAACAAAAATCTCAGTGGGAAGGAATCTCATTTCCTCCTCCCACCCCCAATGAAATTCTCAAGTTTTTGTTACAGAAATATCCAAACACTTTGAAAAGCAGAGACTAGTTCAATGAATCTCTAATGGATTCAGCCAATTCCAACAATGACTAACACATGGATAATTCTGAATCGTCCACCTCCCTCTGTGGGGCTCAGGGGTGAAAGGGTCACCAATTTGACAAGATGGTGACTAGCAGTCAAGGTCACTGGTAAACAAGATGGTGATTTTTTTTTTTTTTAAGAAAAGGGGATATATATTTAAAAACCAGAAAGTCCCCAAACTCTAGCTGGAGGGACAGGAAGGAAGAGGAAGCAGTGAAACGCAGACTCCTGCAGAGCCCGACCCCGTTCCTACACAGTGCCTGCCCACAAGGCAAGCTCCCGCTGAGGGCCGCCTGACCCAATCCGAGAGGCAACCCCCCCATAGCCACAGCCCTCAGTCTTCTTGCCAGTCATCCTGTGCCCAGGCTGGCATGGGGGAAGAGTACTCAAAGCCTGGCCCTTTCTAGTGCAAGGTGTGAAGGAACATGACCAGCTCCTGGCATGAGGGATCCTGGTTCCGCAACCCACGCTTGGCACACAGCGGGTCTGGCTCCTGATCTGCACCATTTGTTGCAGGTGCCTTCCCTGGTGTCCAGGCCCCTGGCTCTGGATGCTGAGGAGCTGCATGACTACTTGGCCTGTCGTCAGGGCAGCTGTAGCCAACTTCTGCTTGCTTGCCTTGCCCAGCTCAGGAGGCCGTGAGTGCTGTGGGCAGGTCACTCTCAGAGATCCAGCATGTCCAGGCTCTGTTTGGCCTGATGCTCTGCCACCAGGTCCCGCAGCAGTTCCTCATCTGTCCTGGGGATGTGGCCACCACCACCTCGAGAGGGACCCTAGATATCTGAGTTGTAGATCTGGCTCACAGGCTGCCCAACAGGACTGCCGCGGATCTCACGCAACGTTCTAACTGCTAGGCCAAACAACCTCCCGCGAGCAAACGTAAACCAAATTCTGGACATCATATCATTTTGTCTACAACTGCTTTAGCATGTATCTCTAAAAGGGACTTTTTAAACAAACAACCACAAATCCACAATATCTTCATCATAGCTAAAATAAATCAGTCTTCAATAAGTTATTCAGTAAAGGTTTAAATTTCTCAAATTGGCTCATAAATGCTTTCTTATGGTTGATTTGTTGGAATGCTTTTGGGATGACCTTTTTTCTTAAAGATTCATTTTACTTTTACTTGAGTTACACAGAAAAGGAGACACAGAGGGAAAAGTGTCCACCCCTCAAATGGCTGCAGAGACTTAAGCCGGGCCAATCCAGAGTCAGGAGCAAGGAGCTTTCTCTGGATCTCCCAAGTGGACTCGGGGCCCGAAGGACTTGAGCCATCCTATGATGCTTTTCCAGGCCGCAGCGAGGAGCTGGATTAGAGGTACAGCAGCCAGGACACAAACTGACACCCACGTGAGACATGGCACTGTGGGCAAAGACTTAGGCTACTATGCCATGGTACTGGCCCCTCTTGGTTCCCTTTGAATCTGTAAATCCACAGGAGTTAACAGACTCCTGCGTTTTGGAGGTTAGAGTGATGGCAAGTTCAGGTGGTCCAACCACACTGCCTGGGTGGAAATACTCTTTCACGATGCAGAGCAACTGCCTGTTCTCTGCAGGACCACTCCCCTCGAGGGAACAACACTGCCTGTTCTCTGCAGGACCACTCCCCTCCAGTGAACAACACTCACAGCCTTTTCAGGTGTCTTTTCTAGAAGTGCTTCCTCACTCTGGGGCTAAAGGGGGCCCCTTTGTCACCCGCAATTGTCACATACCGGTCCCACAAAATGGGCCTAGTCTGATTCGACTCACGTTGATGACGATATCTAAGACAATGAAGGCATCAACAAAGCAGTAGATAGAGTTATATAATAAAGGACTTGTAACTACTGAATTACGTTCTATAAACAGATGCTATGAGTCAAATACATGCACACTGTTAGGAGCTGGGTATTCAAGAGACATAAAAAGGATCTGCAACCTTCCTGGATCTTGAAAAAACTCTCAAAGTCTTTGAATATTTCACTATTAAATAACGACACAAGAGCCTTGTGGTTCTCTTCCTCTCTTCGGAAATGCAAAGGATGAACCCAGTGAATTGCCGAACAAAGACAGTGGCACCAGCCCGCTCCTTCACCCCACCTCACGCACTGCTCACACTTACTTTCTATCTGGGAATGGAGATCATTGACTATGACCTGTAGCTGCCCAATGGTCATGTCTCGCAGGTCGGTGGGTTTTAAACTCCTTTTCATCAAGCATTCACTTATGTGAGGCATGTGTGGCAGCTGAAGATACAAACGGGAGGAAAAGAAACGTGAGCAGAGCTGCAAGGACACTGAACACAAGACCCAGTTCCCCCTTAGGAGACCCACCCTCATCCACCCACTGCAATTTAGGTCCTGTGCTTGCTTAAAAGACTTCCTAGGCTGTGGCTTGCTCCATTACCTACTACTTGCATGCTATTGTGACCACAATGCCACACCACTAGCATCAAAAGCCTTATGACTGGAATACCAGCTGTGAGAATCTAAGTCAATTATTAAAGCTCAAATGAATGTCAATGATGTGGATAAAATTAATGCTAAAGCTACTAGTTACTAATTGATACCAGTTGCAAACACTGTAGGGTGTGATTTCGGCGCTTCATCTGCCTGGATTCTCAGACATGTTCTGACATCAGGTGCTCTCTCTATTTGACTGACGAGAGAACTGGGACCTATTGAACTCTCCAGAACCCCAGGGAGCTCAATGGCAGAGCAGGACCTATGCTCCAAAGCCCAGGGCTCTTCTTCATGGTGTGACATTGCCCTTATGACAGCCATAATGAGAACTAGAGCAGGTGGGAGTCTGCCACCAGTAAGAGGTTCTCGGCACCCATGTTAGCTGATATTGCCTGTAAGGAACATGTCAGATAGGAATCAAGTTTACTTTTGTGGAATCTGTTGCTTCTGTATCTTTAAGTGGAAGATACAATAGGAAGGGAAAGAAACACATTGCATTATTTCTCAACTACAGTACTTTTTACAGATTGCCTTGGAGAAACCCCGGTTTGCATAACTCCGGGAAGGGACTGGGCCAGCGTCAGCCACTGGCAACCCTCAGATGCTCGTGTTGCTTACAAGATCAGCGACGGGGGACTTTTTCCTGTTCTGTTTTTCCACTTCAACTTGCATTTTGGCCATCGGTTTGGCCATGGCGAGGGCCATTTTGGCTTCGGCCTGCAATTTCTTTTGCCTAGTGAGGAAGTCCATGTCATCCAAGGATTCAGATTCCTCTTCAGTAGTGTCCCTGTCAGAATAGGAAGAGCTCTGCTTGCTCTGCAAAGGGAAAACAAGCAAAACAGCAGGCTGAGTGCTCCATGCCAGCTAGCATCATTTCCAGAGTAGTGAGGACATGCCTGAGACCCTGTCCGGGGCTGAATTCCCTCCCTCACCCCAACTCAATGCTGGATTGGATCCAGATGAACCTCAAGCCACATGACGTGCAACAAACTCTTGATTTTAGCATGACCAGAAAGGGCAGTCTAATCAACAGGGTAAGCAACAGGAAAATACAGTATACTGATTTGGGTACCACATTTTTTTTTTTAAATCCACGCAGTTTCCCCATAATGTGCATTTCCCAAGGACCTTTACAGACCTGTCATATTTATGACAAAGCTGAGACATTGGTTTGATTCTTGGTCTCAAAATCTTCCTAAAATGACCAGACAACCAAATATTTATTGCAGGGTAAAGGCACTGGGCTGGACCTCAGAGAAGACAGGCTCTTAGGGATCCAACTTTTTACTTGCTGGTCTTGGGTTAAAAAAAAAAACAAACAGGTAAATGATATAGACACTGTTCACAGACAGGAGCGACTTGTTGCAACAAACACCCGGGATTAGTTAGGCAACTTCTGTAATAGGCAGGAAAGGAAGGAACTCCTACTTTGAAGCCTGATATGGGGGTAGGAATCGGTACTCAGCATGTTTTTCCCTTGATAAAGTTTTGGAACATATCTGATTTGTTATGGTTTCATAGGAAAGTGATCGCTAACTTTAAAAAAGCTTATATATTCTTTTAAGTCTCAACTCTGATCTTTCAATCATTGTCCCAGTTTAGGAGCATGCAATTCTAAGCGACATTTGTTTTTTCACCTCCACAAAGTCTGTTCCTGATTCACAGCAGAAAAACAGCTGAAAGCCGAGGAAGGCAGGCCACTGGGCGCCGGCTGGTAGGCGTCAGGACTCACCATGGGAGACAAGGGCGTGTCCAAGCTGGTCTCGGTCTTGCTGTCGTCAGCATCGCTGTCTTTATCGCTGCCACTGTCGTTGACAAAGCATATCTGCAGGTTCATGCCACTCTGCAGCCTGGGCACCAACAGACAGAACACACGCATGATTTGGTGACTTGCTGCCAGGCCACAAGCCAACACAACTACCTGACTGTGCGAACAGAATCAGCTTCATGTGGAGAGGGGAGGGCCCAATGTTGAAGGATTTCCTAACACTCTGGTAGAGTTTGTCTATGTCAACTTCAAGTTATATGAAAAATACTTTAAGGCCACCTAGTCCAGCAACCAGCACAAACCAAACACACAGCTGATCTACCCAAAGAGATAGGGTCATCTGAAAGAAGCCCAAAGCCAAGCAAAGGGGCCCTCTGATGTCATTCACTCAGAGCAGCATCACAGCTTCCCACCCTCCCCGAGAAGTCCAAGGAAGCCAGATCCTGACGCAAAGTTCTGCAGACGCCTTGCAGCACTCGGGGTGTCCGAGGCAGTCAGCACCAGGGGTGATGCTGTGGGAATAGCACAAAGGCAGGGCCTGCCGTGCATCTGTCTGTTTCAACTGTCTTTTGAGATGGCAAATTTGCAGTGTGGCCTCTTGAGTATCCCCTAGTCACTATGTGAGTCTAGAGCAAAACAAGGCAAGAGGCGGCTCCCAGGCAGGCTCCTCAAACGCAGGCAGAAGATGTTCTCTGTGCCAACACGATTACTGCAAAGAGCAACTCCTCCGCTCCTTGACATTTGTATTTGACTTTCACAGGATTCCGGTGGCAAGTGCACTTTGCAGAAATGCCTCCGATGCGACATCTTAAGTGTTCCTTGACTGGGGGCGGGGGACCCAAACAAAATGGGTGGTGTTGAAGAGCTTAACCTAACACAGGCAAGGCGACTGTTACAGGTGGTGACTGCCACCTATTGTTAGACTCTATAATGACTGAAAACTTTAGCTTCCCTCTCCTGCCCTGCTGGGCCAGCCTGAGCAGGGAGGCAGGGAGGCAGGGAGGCAGGGCAGGGTGGGAGAAGCAGGCAACAGGCTTGGCTGTGATCAGCTCAGGGAGCTGCAAGTCAGCTGGACTCAGGTTTTCGCCAAGAACAGTCTGTAAATTCTCTGAACCTCAAGCTTGTCCATTTGTACACCAGGCTGATCAACACTTGATTTGCGCTTTGGAAGAAAAATTGATAGAATTTGATCAGGGTCAGGTATGAGGTGACAAAGAAGCCCCTAGGATGCCCTCATCCAACATGGGAATATCCAGGTTTGAATCTTAGTTTGGGTCTGCTTTCAGCTTCCTGCTAGTCACTGCCTTGGAGGCAACAGGTGATGGTTCAAGTACTCGCGTCCTGGCCGCCATGTAGGACACGGGGATGGCGTTCCTGGACTCTGGCTCCTAGCTTTGGCCCAGTCCAGCTTCTGCTACTGTGGGCACTTGGGGGAACACAACAACAAATGGGAGATTTGTTTCCTCTTGCAAAACAAACGAATAAATAATAATGCTAAAGTTAAGAGAGCCAAGTTTAGAGCTTGGCATCAGGCAGGGTCTCTTCCACTTTGCACTCACTGAGATGCTAGACAAAGCAGCACTGAATTCTAGAGGTGCTGTGAATTCCCCATTTCATTTTTAAAAGATTTATCTATTATTATTGCAATGGTAGATTTACAGAGAGAAGCAAAGACAGAGAGAAAGATCTTCCATCCGCTGCTTCACTCCCCAGGTAGCTGCAATAGCAGGGGCAGAGCTGATCTGAAGCCAGGAGCAAAGAGCTTCTTCTGGGTGTCCCTCACCGGTTCAGGGTCCCCAGAACTTGGGCCATCCTCCACTGCTTTCCCAGGCCACAAACAGGAAGCTGGATGGGAAGTGGAGCAGTCGGGACACCAACTGGTGCCCATCTGGGACCCGGGTGCTTGGAGGGGAGGATGAGCCATTTGAGCCATTGCACTAGGCCCCAGGTACCACTACTTTCTACAGAGACTGCCAACGCTACTTGCTCTAATACCTCCAGTCATGTCAGAACAGCCCCTACCACCTCGTCACTCTGGACAGCCTACTCAAGCTGTCTGTAACCCTTAGGCAGCTCTGTGCTGCTGAGCGGGAACTTGTTTCCTTTTCACGTTTTCCCATTGAACGTGTTTTTCTGGGAAAATCTAACATGTTCAGGTTACTCTGATCTTTCATAAGTTTTCAAATTTTAGTATGTGTACTAGGTCCAAAAGAATAAAATCAACCCATTTTTAATAAAACACAAGATCTATGTTTTGTAAGATTGGTGGGAAGGAAACCTCAAATAAAAAAGAGATACAAGGGCACTTCAAGAAGTATGTGGGGAAAATGGCATTAAAGGTTAAGCTTATTTTGGGCCCAGTGCAATAGCTTAGTGGTTAAAGTCTCACTTTGCTTGCGCTGAAATTCCATATGGGTGCTGGTTCTAACTCCGGCTGCCCCATTTCCCAGACAGCTCCCTGCAGTGGCCTGGAAAGCAGTAGAGGATGGCCCAAAGCCTTGGGACCTTGTACCCACATGGGAGACCTGGAAGAGGCTCTGGGCCCCTGGCTTAGGATTGGCTCAGCTCTGGCTGTTGAAGTCGCTTGGGGAGTGAACCAGTGGATGGAAGATCTTCCTCTGTCTCCTCTCCTCTCTGTATATCTGACTTTCCAATGAAATGAAAAAATCTTTAAAAAAAGAGATAAGCTATTTTGTGTATAAACAAGCTTTGAAAATATGTTTTTAAAATATGCCTTTTCCATGCTTTTTCAAAGATTTTTGTATGTATGGGTTTACTTTTTTTTAAACTCCATTTGTATGATTATTTATTATTTATTGCCATGTAACCAATTACTCCAAAAACCTAGCAGCTTAGAAAAACAAGCATTTATCATCAGACAGCGAGTATCTTAGGTGTTGGGCATGGCTCAGCTAGGACCTCTGCTTCATGGACTCCCCAGGCCGCCATCAGGACGTGCAAACCAGAGCGTCGGCTAGCTTCCATGCCCACGTGGCTCAGTTTCTCATCTGAGGCTGTTGGTTCTTTCACAGCCATCGCCTGCAGGCTCCTCAGCTCCTGTGCATGGGTTTACTTTTTTAACACCAAAATAAATCTGTATTTTAATTGCATTACTCATTAAATTAATTTTTTTTTTTGCTTAAGCTTTCTGAAAGGCAAAGTTACAGAGACAGGGTGAGAAGATTGAGAGATTGTTCCAGTTGTAGTGGCCAGGACTGAGCAGACCTAAAGCCAAAAGATTGGGTCTCTCATGTAGGTACAGGGCCCCAAGAATTTGAGCCATCCTCTGCTTATCTCCTAGGCACATTGGCAGGGAGCTGAATGGGGAGTGGAGCAACTGGGACATGAACCTGCACCCACATGGTGTGCCAGCATTACAGGTGACAGCTTAACTTGCTATACCACAGTGTTGACCCCACGTCCCACAAACTTTGGAAGTGCTTCTGTATATTGTAAGTGCGACCCCAAATGCAAAGATTATTTAGCTTTTCTGTTTATTGAGTAGATAAAATGTTGAAAAAATGGCCACAGCAAATGAGCTATGACAGCCAAATAAACTTGAAAATATCCAAAGATGTATATTTCAATTCTGAAGCAAATTTAATAATACCTTCTGTTTTTCTGTCTCCAAGCTAGACTTTTTTGCTGTTGCTGTTAAAGATTTATTTGTTTTTATTTAGAAGGAAGATTTACACAGAAAAAGAGACACCGAGAGAAAAAGATCTTCCATCCATTGGTTCACTCCCAAAATGACTATAATAGTTAAAGCGGAACCAATCCAAAGCCAAAAGATTCTTCTGGGTCTCCCACGTGGGTGAAGAGGCCCAAGGACTTGAGTCTTCTTCTGCTGCTTGCCCAGACCATACGCAGAGAACTGGAGCAGCTGGGACACGAACCAGTGTCCATACGGGATGCCAGGCTTGCCGCTGGAGGATTAGCCTGTCGACCCACCGTGCCAGCCCTACCAGGCAGGACTTTTGTGAATGACGTGCTCAGCTCTACACCACCTATCCCACAAGACATTTCTAATTCCAGCAAGGCAAAGGACTGTTGGGGTGAAATTTTAAATAGGAGAGAAAAGGGGAAGAAAAAACAAAACACCTTCGGTAGCACAGGAGAAAATCGCCTTAGTCCCACATGCTCAGAGTGGGGCCCTGAGGCCGAGGGCCACTTGCCCATAGTGCAAACACATACACTGCTTCTCCTAGGAACAAGGAACGGACATGACATAACAGCAAAGGCGTCCCAGGGGATTTGAGATGTAAAGACATCTTAAAACAGGCTCAGGCTTCGAGGAGGATTTGTTTTCCTTTAGCCTTTAAGCAGGCTTTAAGACGGTGGTGATGACTTCTGGTGAAACTGGGCCACAGCTCTCATCCCCGACTCTGGGCTCGGTGGCACCACCAGGTCTGCCAAAACCTCTGTGCCACAGATCAATGAACTGGGAAGCCGGGTGCCACCCTGCCCTGGGCATGCGGGGCTGTTCTCGGGGTTCACTTCTGACATCGGGCCTTACTGTTAAGCAGCCAGGCAAAATGCAGGCTGCAGAATCTCTGTCTCTCAAACCCTTGCTGTGGGGAAAACAAAAGGCAAGCCTCATCTTACTGAATGTAGACGTGATTTTTAGGTACTCGGCTCAAGGTGACCAGGTGTTTCAAGCGGCAGGGAGCAGAGCATCAGGCTCAAAGGCTGCCAGGAGTTGACTTTGCCTATCGATTCCATTTTTTAAAGGTCTGGCTCCTGGTTAGCCCAGAAACCACCTTTTCCTTAGACAACACCTTATGCAGTGACTCCAGCCAACAGTGCTGCCAGTGGGAGGAGGGAGCAGCTGCATGAATTCTTAGAAACCTAGAGATGCACAAGGATGTCCGTGGGCCATCCTGACATGCACAGAGTGACCGATGGCAGGTCAGCATCAAGGCCAGGAATGAGTGGGCATGTGGTCCAGATGTTGCCGAGCACCGAGAGCTTCAGGAATACCTGTGCTGCCTTTCCAGCTACTGACGCGTCAGGTACTGCTAACACGGGCACAGACCCAGGCAGAGGGTAAGTCGCAGCAATTGCAGATGACTCAGAGAATAT